ATTATTACATCCTAATTACATAATGAGCTGTGTTTATTAAGATTTCTATGTCTCTTAAAAACAAAAATCAGTTAAAAATTTAACATACCTCCTTTCCAATAGAATATTTCAAAATGAGGGTTAAATTTCTCCCCACAAATATAATCAATACCAAGAAACAGGCTTTTCCATTCAAAATCCCATAGCAATTTTAAGCATTATAAAAATATAAATAAAGGCTAAAATATTTGTTCAATTGAAAATATCTATTCCTTAGAAATGTGGAGACCTTCTCCTTGACAAGGTTTTTGGAATAAATCAAGTTTAGAGAAAAAAATGACCATATATGGGGTATGTTTGCCCTTTCAAAATGAATTGCAAGTTTCAACATCAAATTTTATCATGCCCATTAGTAGCAAGAAATAAGTCTGTTTAATGGAGAGGAAGCTACCCCTATAAATTTAAACAAGTCAAATTACCAAGGAATCCAGCAGTTCCCCTAATCTTTAAAGGTACGACTTTCGAAATAAACTCATAAGAGATATAACTCTGCTGGGGTTTTTTTCCTTTAATGCCTCAACAATGAATATCAATGCCTGGGCCAACTGTAAGGAAAGTAAATTGGTCAAATTATTTTGGTAGCCCATTTTTAAAACAAAAAATAATTAAAACTGTTTGCATCTTCAGAAATTTGCTTGTCCTTGCCCAGTGTTAGTCCTGCACAATTATTACAGAACATACCAATTCTCAACCAGTTCCATGATTGCTATTCCTGAGGTATAACCCCAGTAGATGAGTACTAGGATAGAGTAAGTTGACCAAAATCACCTGCCTGAGTGGCAAAGAATTTATAGCTGGGTTTTAAATCAATTGCAGTTTAATAAGCTAAAGTAGCATTGAGCAAGAAGATGAAGAATACCATTAAAATTGCTTAAAGAACATTTTAAATGCCCCTGTTTTGCATTTCCACACTTCCCAGTAGTCTTCTCTATCATCACACATATATTTTATTGTAAATTTATGTTTAGATATTTCTACCTCCACATCATGACTCTTCTGAGTACAAAGAATGTGTCTATTTTGCATAGCCTAGCAATTATCCCCAAGCACCCAGCCTAATACTAAGCATATATTATTCTTTAAATAGTTGATGATTGACTAAATAATAAATAAATTATATATGTAATAAGTACATAAGCAAAAGTGTCATGTAGCCTGTGGAGTATGGGTTCTACTGGGGAAATATCTCTGTAATACACAATGTCTTTTCCTCCTACGTCAACCTATTGACATTTGTCTGCTAAAATTACATCTTTAAAGACATATCTTCCTAAACATTTAAAAGACATCTTTTCATTTGGACTGGCCGCCAGTCAGGTCTTTTTGTGTATTGTTTTACTCTACAATGGCTGGAATCACTTGGGGAACTTTCAGTATTTATGGTCTGTGTCCAATCCCAGAACAAATGAATCAGAATTCTGGAATACGGCCTGAGCATTGGTATTTTTTATAATCTCCCAGATAATTCCAGTATATGGTCAAGTTGACAGTAACTAAATGGAGAAGCGCATAAAATATAAGTACAACCCATCTAAAATTAAAACTTGTTCAGACATATAATTGTAGAAAAATTTTGCCTTGTGTCTTTAGATACATTATTTAAACTTTATCATTGTGGGAATAAAGTGGGAATAAAATACCTGCCTCAGGTGAAAATTCTTTGGAAAAAAAGTTATAAGTGTTATATAAATTTAAGATCTATTTTATTAATTTAAATAAAAAATAAAAGTGTTAATACTTTGTATTTATTACAAATTACAAAACATTACAAAAGTTAAAATATTTCCCTTTTCTTCAGACACAGCTGAGTTTAGGAAGACGTCCAATTATTTCAAATTGGTTGGATTACATTCCTTCAACAAGATACAAAGATCCATGTGAACTGATACATCTTTGCAGAATAACCATCAGGACTCAACTATTAACCAACAATATGCTCCCAAATGGAATATTTTCACTTTTAATTCCTGTTCGTCTGCAGAACTACCTGAATTTAGAAAGCTGATTAATACACATCTTTATCCTAAGTTCCTTAAGGATGCTTACCAATGTATGACTTAGAAGTTAATAAACGATTAACTTCATGTAAGTTTTTATTGCACTGAACATTCATTTAGAAAATATATTTTAATATGACATCTCAAATAGATCATTTTTTAATCAATATGTGACTCTGCCTTCTATACAGTGGAATAAATTATATACATTTGTTTTTAGATGAGGTCTCACCATGTTGCCCAGGGCTGGTCTCAAACTCCTGCGCTCAAGCAATCCTCTCACCTCAGCCTCCCAAGTAACTGGGTCTACAGGCACCTGCCACTGCACCCAGCACATACTGTATGCATTTTGATACAAAGAGAAAAGAACTATTTTGATCCAACAATGCATCAAAATGAAAACGTTATCAGTTAAATCTGTACGTTCTTTGGTTACAAAGAAACTTAACTTAAAAAAATAGAATTTACTGGAAGACAATGTTTTAGCTCTTCTCTTTTTAAATACCTAGGGTACCTGACTTTTCTCTCTGTATCTATGTGGTCTAGCTTGCAACACAAAGATGAGAATTATAAGACAGTTCTCCATGGATCTCTCATGTCACTGCCTGTCTTAGGAGCCGAGGCACTAACTTCCATTCATTATGGACTAGCTTTTCAAGGATGTTTGTATAGTGAGCAGCCGTGGAAGACAGACATCGTGTCTCCCTCTGGAGCAGAGAGCAAGTCTGCTTACTGTCTAGTATAATAAAGGTAGTATCTTCCTCCAGGGAAAACGTTGAGCTGGTTTGCTTGAAGCTCATTATAAAAGATTGGAATTTCTCAAGCTTAGAGATCCTCAGCTGTGACACAAATCCACTGTGTGCCCATCTCCTTGGACCACTGCACGTCTTTGGGGTGGGTGTAAGTGAAACAAACACAAGCATGAAGCTCATGCTGTTTGCTGTGCAGTAATAAAGTCCTTTGTTTCCAACCCAGGAGTCTCTTGTCTTCTGACAGCAAAAACTGTGGTAGGCTAAACTGCTAGTTTGCAATTAGGGTGAAAATCTCAGACTCTTAATATCTCTTGACAATGAGGATCTGTTACCACCTCATCACTGTATATTTTAGAACTGGTCGTAGTAAATCATGGCAGACAATAGCAGTTTCCACCACTCGCTTGCAATCTGGGGACTATCACAATTTTGACAGTTCATAGGAAAAGAGTGTTCATCCTGGTCCTATAGTAACAGGGTAACTGTGTGAATATTATTGTAGTTTCTAAAGAACAGAATGCAAAGCAGCAAAAGTAGCAAAGTAGCAAAGACATGGAGCAATATAACTAGATTACTTATTTTTTCTTTCCTTCCACTTTAAGTGAAAAACAAATACATTACAGATTGAATTATAGAAATGTTTATTTACACACTGAATTAAAATACATTTTATTATAACTCAGCATATTTTTAAGTTCATAAATACAAAGGAATTTGATACTATACACAGTGTATTAACATTTGAGTATTTACTTTCACTAGTAACATATAAGGCAGTCAGATATTTTAGTTGAAAATACGTGTTAATATGAGGAAAACCCAAAAGCTACTTTAGTCTAGCTCTAGCACATAAAGAAAGATTAGATTGCTGACCCAGATGAAATGATCTGTCTGGGCAAATACTTCAGCAAATCTTTTTACAATTATCCTTTTCTTCTATCCTTTTCTTATATCTTCAACTGTAAGAAAGCTTAATGAATTTGGTGCAATCATCTCTTTTACTGAACATGGTTCATACCTGTCCTAGAGGGTGGGCAATAAGCAGCATCTAAGTTTCAGGGACTTCTTCCTACTGGAATTCTAAGTATTTCCATATTTCTTAACATGACTGATGGCATCACCATCCAGAATCATCTTGAACTCTTCCTTTCTGCGTTAGTTTCCTAGAGTTGCCATAACAAAGTTCCACAAACTGGGTGGCTTAAAACAACAGAAAGTTCTTGTCTCATAGTTCTGGAAACTGAAAGTCCAAAATCAAGGTGTCACTAGGACTCTGCTCCCTCTGAAACCTATAAGAGAATCCTTCCTTACCTCTTTCCAGCATTTAGTGGTATTCCAGCAATCTCTGGTGTTCCTTGGCTTTGTAGATGCATCACTCCAATATTTCCTTTTCATATGGCATTCCCACAGGGAATTCCCAAATGAAAAGGCATCTTTTTATAAAGACAACTGTCATATTGGATTAGGGGCCCACCCTACTCCAATATGACCTCATCCTATCCAATTACACTAGCAACGATCCTATTTCCAAACAAGGTCACATTCTGAGGTATTGAGGGTTAGGACTTGGACGGATCTTTTTGCAGGGGACAAAATTCAACTCATAACACCTTCCCCTCACTAAAATATTAGGTCAGTCACTAAATCTAGTTAATCAGTCAATAAATCTCCCTAATATCTTTCAAATCAATGTCTTCTTTCCCTGACAAGCCATTCTACCCACTCCACTCTTCTCTCCTCCCACTCACATTTGTCCCATTTTCATCGTTTCTACCTTTAACCCTCATCAACTCTACTGAAATAGTTTCTTAAGCTATTTGGTCTCCTTGACTGTGGTTTCAACCACCCATCTCAATCTCAGCATTATTCAAGCTACACATGGATGATCTTATTACAATGCAAATCTATCAATAATCATGTTATACCACCACCACCACCACCACCACTCTTCCTCACGTCCCCAACAACAAACACAGCTTAAAACTCTACAGTGATTTATAAGAGAAATTGATATAAAGCAGCATGCTTCACCCTTTTGTCACTCTCTCATATGCACTCTATCCTCCAGCTAAACCAAACTGCTTACTGTTCCACATCTCTTTCCTTATACATATGCTGATCCTTCTATCTAAGATGGCTTTTCCTTCCTAAACACCTGAC